TATAATACAAAACTTTTATAAATTTACACGAACAAATTCAACAACTCACTAGCATTGTGAACAATGATTTCAATTAAATAATTAAATAAATAAATAATTTTATTCGGTTTTTGGTTCAGAGAGATAGAAGGGTGATTAAGATTGTGAATTAGCAGTGTCAAGGATCAAAAAATTGGTTCATTTGTACTATTCAGTAATAGACATTAATAATATCCTTATTCTGTTTATTAAGGACAAAACACAAGCACTATTGGAAAATCCTTAAGACGCTTTAAGAGCGGTGCCTGTGTGAAAGTAGCGATTCAAAGAAATTGCACTAGTATAGTGCAAGGCATTGAATGATTTTTTTCTCAGTCTCTGTAACAATTTTGGTTCGTATTTTCATTTAATATATAACAAATGTCCTAAATGAAATGTTCTCAGTTGAAATCAATAGAAAGAGATATTGAATATATTTGATTTATTTTAACTTTGGTCCATCAATTTCGGTATATTCACTTATTTCTTTTCATCATTTTTTCATTACATTCAATCAATTTCACTAATACATGTTGTTGGGAATCTACATGGAGGAAGTGTATGGACTGTTTCCATTTGCAGGTCTTATACAGTGTGTCTAAAATAAGAAGGGGCAGCATTGAAAAATCGGCCACTGTAAACGATACAAAGTCACTCAAATCAGGAAAAAGTTACAAATTTTTTCGTTTTTCTTAATGACTTTTCAAAATTCAGGAAATTCCGATTATGACACTGGATATTTTTGCTAAAAAAGCTGACCTATACTAGGTCATTCCTCTTTCCAGTCTATATAAAAAGTAATTTTGGTCATGGTTTTTTCATTGAAGAAACGAATTAAAAATTTGTAAACACATCTTATACAGTAGCAATGAGAAAGTGTTTTTATTATCTTCTTAAATAACTTTATGAGTAGAATTTGGAACCTCTGGCGTCAAATGATTCTATTGAGAATAGTTTCCCCTTACCAGAATAAAAATGCTTTATCGTGACGTGCATTTCGCTAACCAAATCGGCATCATAAGGAGATCGCTAACTTGGTTAGCTAAACGCACATAGAGATACAGCATTTTTGTTCTGGTGACGGAAAAGTGTTCTCAATAGATTTTTGAATGACGACAGAAAAAAGTTAAAAGGAAATTAGCGAGTTTAGTTACTTTTCAAACATCTCTCAAAATTAATTGGAATTTTCTGAATTTTATAATGTTATTTAAACGATTTTTGTCTGATACAACTGACTCTATACCTTTAATTTTTTTCGATATCCCCATATCAGCTATCATTATCCAGGGCAGACAGTATATTGAATTTTTCATAGTTATAATCGGAAAAAGGTAAAAAATATATTTGTACTAATGGCCTACAAGTTGATTGAGATAAAACGTTCACACTACTGGAAGATCTGCATTTTTCTTCAATATTAAACTATATTACTGATTTACATACTTGTTCTTGCGTGATTTCATTAACAAATATATTCAGACTGATGTTCTGAATATTAATTGCAGAAGTGTTAACATAACTGAAAGTTCTGTATTTATCTTCTATTTTTGAATATTATGATAATTCGTCATATTGGAATTTTTAAGTAATCTCATCGAAAAGTTGAATAACGTTCAATGTTCATCACAAAAAAAGTAATGGGAATTTCTTATTCAAGTGACACTTTATTGTGATATTTCTACTGGACAGTTTACAAAACCGCAACACGTGTTCCGCTATACAATAGCTTCCTCGAACGTTTTTATACCACCATATATCATGAAACACGTGTTGCGATTTTGTAAACTGTCTAGTGGAAATCTCAGAATAAAGTGTTACTTGAATGAATTATTGAATTTCATCAAGTATCAGCCAATCCCGTCACATAATGAGGGTTTAATAAAATGAAATATCATTTCATATACAGTTACGCGTTGACTTAATCATAACTAAAAAAAAAATTGGAACCATTTCATTATTTTTTTATTATCTTTGTATATAGCTTTCTGTCAAAAGTTTTAGTGAATTAACACTGGACTTTTAAAATGGTGTAAATGAATTTAAGGTTACCCAATGAATTTTTCATATTATAAACAATACCTATGACAAATAATTGAAAATAATTGAATAGAACTGGCCCATACATGATAAAAATCCATTTAAAAAACTAATCAATACAGTTCATTGTATGATTTTCATTATAAGGGTTTTACAAAAACTAAAGTCTGGTTCAAAACTATTTGGCTACCAAGAAAATCAGACCTAACCCATCATCAGTTCCAAAGAATAATTGGTAATTCTGTTATTTTCATGTCTGTTATTTTCATGTAGAGTACTATAAATGACTCTCTATCAAGATAAAGAATCTAAAGGTAAATTCACATAAATATAATGATAATTTTCGTTAAATCATTTAAATGCATAATATTTTTTCAATTTACTAAACACTTAGTGTTATATTGCAATATTGAAGGTTTTCAATAGGGAAAATAAGTGGCAAATACTGAATACAATTAGTACTCACAAACTTTTTATGTAAGAACGAGATACTGAAAAAAAAAGGAAAAACATTTTTTACTATGATCGGCATAGTTCAATAATTAAAATATAGGGATACTATCGACTGAAAAAATCAAATGAATTTTGGTCATGAAACAGCTTGTTCGGACGAGCTTTGGTTTTGGAAATTCTGATAATTTATTTTTCAAAAATGTTTAAAAATTGACATAATTTCTTAAATTATAAGGTACAACTTCAAATATTATTCACTCTGCACCCAATTATCAGAATTTTGAAAATTAAAATTCACTGCATGAGACATTGAAATATGTTCATTTGACTTCTTCAGTAGAAATGACATTCACATATAATTGTAGTTGTATCGAAAACTCAAAATTCATCATCCAGTCAAAATTCATCAGCAAGGAAGAACTATTTTTGTCCGCCCTGTGTGAATACTAAAATACTTTTTGTTTCTTCCATCATGGTAATTTTATTTCTATTGTTCAGATCATGAAGCAGATCAAACCCCTTGAATTGCCACCATAAACTATCACAGCACAGAGAGAAACAAGCGAGTAAGGTAAATAGAGTATTTTGGAGTGTGATAGACAAAGAAAGACTACCACGGCTAGAGGCACAGATAATTGACTCAACTAATATTTTTGTTACGACATATATTGTAGAATGCAGAATTTGCATGAACGCTACAAAGTATTTTCAAACACTTTGACAATTATATATCTCAAATTCCAATCAAGCTCCTTCGACAAAATACGATCTTGAAATACAAATAGATGAAATGTCTTTTCTAAAAATTTGGAATATCACTTCCTTCGCAATAAATTTCAAGATCATATCTTGAGAAAGTATAATAAACCAAGACTAGTAGACATGGAGAGGCTCATGTGCTGATTGAATTGCATCCAACTGAAATTTTACTAGATCATCGTTGTAGAACAATGTCTGAAAACTGCCAGCAAATACAATTGAACTTTTTTAATTTCATGTCAAAGCTTTCAAATTTGTTTTGACAATATCGCTGAGATTAATAATTGATAAAATAAAACAATAAAATAGGTTATCATCTTTTTGTTCGTTATGAACAGAAGAAGTTTCTCAGATATTTGACATCCAAATAATGTTATATGAGAAAAGAAATATATTGGAAACTATCATAGCTACTTCAAAAATGAGTGACTTCATTTGATGTTCACCACTGAATATTCTACAAATAAGTAGTTACAACAGGTTTTTTTTAATAGAAGTCACCTTTTTCCACACTAAAATGAGCAAGAGCAACTTTTGCCCGAATAGCAAAATGCGTCTTCAATAAAATGTTCGGTATGAACATTGTATAATCATCATCATTCTTTTGACTTGTGTCACAGTTTGAGGCGAGATTTTTATAGTAAATTACAGGTTTTTAAAACAGAAAAGATTGTTTTTTGAAACGTCAACCACTTGCGAAAGCTAGGTATCAATATTTAATTTTATCAATTGATATTTTTACTGTCTAATTGGACTTTTCAGTAGTTTATATTACGAAATAACTTTTCCAGGTGAACTTTTCACTTTTGACTCTCAATTCATAACGAAGGATATAATTCAAAATAATATACTTTTTCACTCACCATAACGTCGTAGATATTTCGATAGATACCCAATTGCGGTTCGAAGGTCATATTATTCGACTTTCATGAGGTGTCACTTCTTATTCAAATATATGTATAGCAACAGGAAATTTCTTCCTTTCTATGTCAAGAAAGTACGATTCCTCAATATTATCAACATTCAATAATGCAGATTCTCTCTGCGGCCTAATGTGATTATGGAATAAAAACAAATTTAAAGACCCAAACTGTTGTCTTAGGTAATTACTTGGTGTAAGAATATGGCAGAGAATATCAAAAGAAATTGAATAGATAACAGGAGAGTATTTGATTTTATTGAACTCTTTAACAAAATCATGAGTACTAGGAAATCCTATTTGCATTGAAAAATCGTATGTAGAACAAATATCGATTTGAATATTAGACACAAGGGCTTGTTGATGATACATACTTTCAAAAATAATATTTTCAACTGATCATCCAGTTACCAACTCTATACTAAAACTAATTTGAAATGCAAAATTTCAAATTTAATCTTATAACTTCGAGTTTTAAAAACGTAATTTCAAGAGACAAACAATAATATATGTACCCCCTCTGCGCTTCCGTAGAAGTGAACTTTGTTTAGTCAAAAAATATCCTACAAGGGCGAATTTATGTGGGGTTAGTTACCCCCTCGACATAAACATTCAATACAATTCAAATAAGTATTGTGATATATATACCAGCACATACTTTCATAAATATATAAATTTTCCACCTCGAAATTAAAAAACTACCTTCTTCCCGAAATTTTAATTCAAATCCACCCTTGATCCTGTATATGTAATCATGTAGACTATCGAATATGTCAATTGGATATTCATTCTTTTGACTCGTATCAAAAGAAATTTATAAACTTCAACATTTAATATAAAAAGGTTCCACTCGGATTTGTTGAGCAAAGTCCTAGAAAAAATTCCAGATGGCTGCGATTTAATCAGCAGAAGGAGACTACTGCATTGGACTGAAGAGAAAATAACCAGCAATGGCAATTATTACTAACAAATAAAAATCTAACTTTCTATTTAATGACTATCAACTAAATTCCACGACTAAATTACAGCTCAACAATTTTAATTGCATTGGAAAAATATGCAAGACAGGGCGAAAATAACGAAAATCTATACCCTACATAATACTATATGATATGAATCAACTATTTGTCTTTTATGAACAAACTGAAGAGAAGACGCATTCTAATTTTGTCCACAATTTTGAACACGTCAACTATCCAAGTTTTGCATACTTATTGCACATAATATGTTTCAATAGTCATACACAAACACTATGTTATTGACATCAATAAGTATATAATGAGCCCGAGTTGAAAAACATTAGATTATATCTAGACTGAGGCCCATATGTTAGGAAGACATTCAACTAAAGTAGCACAAGTTTTAGTTCTACAGGACGTTATTTTTCCGGCTAGAAGCTGTTTCGATGAACTGCAGGCTTTTATGTCAAAAAATTATACGAAAATTCTATCCAATCAGCTACTACCTAGAGGCAATAATTCGAGCCAACCCGATTCATTGATTGATATGATTTTTCAGAAGTACAAAGCCCAAAAAAATAGTCACTGTAGTGATATGTACCTAAAATATGTAAATTCTTTCAGATTGGCAACGCTAACTATTTGAATGAATTGGTGTACTCTAATAATATGTTTCATATTGACTTTTCGTGATCTTGTAAAAAACTTTAATCGAAAATTTTCCACTTGCCCTCAGAAATAAATCAATCTTGTAACACAATGGTACATAAATGAGTATAAGAAATTTGACAGCACATAAACCAAAAATTATTTTCTCACAATGCTTATATCACTTTGTCTTGACCAAATAATTGTAATCAGTCAATATAAAGAAAGTTATGCAATAGCCACTTGTTACTTTGATTGATTTATTTTCAAAGGCATCACAGCATCAACTTATTTGTATTTTAAATACCACAACAAAATGAAATTAAATAACTAATAACTCAATCAATATTTTTCATCAAATCTCTGATGATTAATAAAGTTCAAATATACTTATGAATAGCCTAATTTGTAAAAATCGTAACACTAATCGTTGCAAGTAAAATGTTGAACAGCGCTAATTGTGAATGTGTCACACACAGATAATTTGTAACTTCACTATACAGTAAGTAGATATGTTTACAGTAATGTTAGGTAATTGAACAATAATCTTTAGTCAATCAAAAAAGTTTTTGAATATAAATGACTTGTAATGATTACAAAAATATTTTTCAACTTTCTGAAAAATCAAATGAAAAAATAACATTGGTCAACGAGATTCACCGGTTTTTTCTTTCAAGAGAAATTGTCAAACAATATCGCGTATAAGTACTTAAATTATCATTAACAATAATAAATATGTTGGATTACAATATTATATGGAAAGGATATGTATTTGTTAAATTAGGAGGGGTGAATAATTAGTGTTCTTGCATTTTTTCTCCTGGTTCATTTGAATTATTATCACCATTTCTAATAGTCATGCTGCGTGATGAAGAGAAGCACAGCTTCATTATGAATGGAAACTTCATACCTGAAAATATAAATTAATGATTTGAGGATATCATTTAACATATCTAATATGAAGAATTTCTGAAAGTTGAAGTCACCCTTCTCATGAAAATATGTTGGGCACATAATTATCTTTCAATATTTAGTACAAGGCCAGTAATAATTTTTTTACTGAGCGCCAATTAATTTTTGTTGCTGTTTCATAATTTAATGATTTGTATTACTTTCTTCTTTAAAAAAGAATATTGAAGTTATAGGAAAAAAAAAGAATCCAGACGACAAGCTTAGGCAGCAAAAGTTTATGTTCACATGCAGATATACATATTTGGAAATGAACTTATGTAAAGAAACATTTCATATATTCCTTAGGAAAAAAACTCGATAATTGAATCACGAGATGGATAGCTTTTTTATATGAATAACCTACTTTTTTTTATTGGAAGCCATCTCTTGAAGCTATCCGAGATTTGTTATGTATGAATATGGTCAATAAATGATCTCTCAACTTTTATATATCATCACCTCTTCTGATAAACAATACTCCTAATAGTAAATGAATAGATTTTCTAAGAAGAGGAAAATTAGAGTTTACCTGGACTCTCGATGGCAGCATGATTGCATGCCATCACAGCTGCTACTGCCTCTGTGGTGTTTTCAAATTCAAGTAATCCAGAACTCGATCGTTCAGATTTCATTGGAAAAAGCTTAACTGCTTTTGGAGGAACTACATCATAACCCCATAATACTATATGATATGAATCAACTATTTGTCTTACAAAAGTAGAGAAAAAAATCAAAAAATCAACAATAACACATTAACTTATAGGTCTTTCAAATAATCACTCAGTACAAGAGCTCACTAAAAATACAAGTTTTGGAATTGTCCACACTTCAAAACATAACTTTCAAGAGTGTAAATGTATCTTTAGAACCCCCTCACGAGAGTGAAATTCAACCCTTGAATTTTAAAGAGGATTAGAGGTCATGATGGAGTAGTTATCAAAAAACATTATAACTTCAAGTCAACAAGAGAATTAGATTTTATCAAAATGTATGACGAATGCGAAATTGACAGAGTGTCTTATAATTATCACGAAAACATTTGTCCTGGTAAAAAAAACTCCAACACAGTTTCCATGTTGATTATATGTGAATTTTTGCCAGATTCTTGACGGTTATGACAATTGAGAATCTAGTCCAAGAAAAATGAATACTGAAAAACATGTATTGCAATTCGAGTTATTTATCTTCCTTTAGATTGTTGCAGTAGATAATTTTATTCCAATGGAATTCATATAATTTCAAAATTTTTCGAATGTACAACGCAGGTAATTACCTGTCACTTAATATAGAATCAATTATGATGAGCTCAAATAGAAACTCATATAACTTCGTTTTATACTATTTCATTGTGTAGTTTCTTTTTTATTTGCCTTCTTCGATCCTGTCTCCATAAATTTGGCACTGAAATCAGTTGTGCATTTCCAGTGTACTTCCAATGGAAAATATCAGACAGAATCACTTCAATTTTCTATCATAAACATCGAATGCCAAGTACTAAATAATAAACAATAATATACAATACGTAAATCAATTTTAGGTGAAAATCATGTTAGGTGAAATATGAAAAATTAGTAATGACATTTTTAATTTCAAACTGTATTTATAATTCAAGTGTTACATCTCATTCCATCGAGAAGGAATTGATTAAAAGTATGCCCAAAGAGTTTACTCCCAAATTGAAAATCGTTCTTGTTATGCACATTGACCTTTGTGTCGCATCATTGTTATTCTTTTTAGTTTCTGTATCAGTAAAAAATTGTATTAGTCAAAATACTCTGGAATCCATCAACAAAAAATAATTTGATCACATATTATCAAATATAATTCAAGACAGGCCAATTTAATCAAAACCCCATGGCATCAACTTTTTGTCTCCCAAAGAAATTCCTTACTTTACCATCTATATATTTTACCAACTGAATATGAAATAAATATGAAGTCTCTCAATGCAATATTATTGAAGGAAAAATTGAAAGAGTTACTTTTGGAACATTGTTTTTACTCAGTGTCAGATTTCAAAGACCATTTTTTCAAGGTTTGTGAGGGTACTTTGGAATATATTTAGTGTAAATATGTTTTTAATGATCTGTTTTTCCATAGCGGTAACTTCTTCTATGCTCAGTCAAGCGCTGTTTCATTGCTTCTTTTCGTGTATCTGATGTAGAACGAACCACAACTACACGGTATTCAGTATACTCCTGTTTATGTTTGTTTCTGTTTTTTCCGTTAACCAACTGTCGCACCCCTACGAACGACAACCATCAGAAGTAAAAACTTGTGCGAGCTAAGGATTAACGAGGTCTTACTTTTTAACGTGTAATTTTTAACACGGGTTGGACGATAGCAAGTGAAAATCAATCTTTCAGACTAGGGCTTGAACCACCGACCAACACGGCAGTCAATTAGAGTGAGTGAACAAAGCACCCACGTCGAAACGCCAGGCTACCGACCGACTGGGGTATTAAATGGATCCTTGGGGTCTTTTGCTGACCTGAGACTACTCTCTATCGTTCTTTTGTGCTTGAAAATGGCCATATAACTCGTTGTTTTTCGTTTTCGAGGGCCCTCACAATCAGGCCCGTCATACCGCTTTTGTAGATCAGAAAAGTTCTTCCATTGGCCGTTCGCTTCAGTGTCACCTTGGAGTGTTTCTATATGGATCCAAGGCTTGGTTGATTTCGGCCTCGTTATATCCGTTATCCAGAAACCCATTCTTCAGATGACAGTCCATCCGGAGTTCTTATTCAAATATCGGTCCATATGGGTTGGTTTCCTGTATACTTCATGCCCCGGTCTTCCGTATTTCCACTACAACATTCAGAAAAGCGATTCCCCTCCCTCTTCTTTTTCCATTGTGAGCTGGATTTTCGGATTCCGAAAATTCAAGAATCGTCAAAATTTCCGGAACACTTGAATTATTTGGTTGGACACTTCAGGTACAAGAGCAGTCGGTCGTCCAACATCTAGTTCCATTATAAGTACAAACGCACCAGAACTATTTTTATTGGCGTATCGTAGCAATGTGGAGCACTTCGTCCGTTGCACCATCGCCTTTGATAATGTCTGCCGCAGTAGCAGTCGAAACGTCAGGTACAAATATCTGCAGATCACGGCTAATAAACCAGAAAAAAAACATCAGATAATTTGTTCGCCACCGGCCGTGAAAGCCTACATGACATAATGATTTTAATTTACTAGTCAGTTGTTGCTGAGACTTCGAGATATAACATTCGTGCTCTCAGTAAACACGTGATGATGTCTGCCGCAGTAGTACTACAAGTTCCATTCAACCACGACCTACCAGCTCGAATTTTGTTCTCTTTGATCGTAACTCCGGCCGTGAAAGCTTATGTTTTCAATTTTTTTTTTTCATCTTATATCAGTTTGTCTTGATGACTTTGCTTATTCCATTTTTAATACCCTTCATTTCAATTCCAAAAATGTTTAGATTCAGGTCACAAATATGTTAATCCTTTCGAACAATGGGAGTCGGGACCAATACCATTCGATTATAAAATATTTTCAAAAACGTTTAAATAAATACGAAAGTTTCGATATACTTTTTGGATTTCATAGGTATGAAGGCGATTACATATTGAGATGGAAACAGATGTTTTAGCTCATCCCCAATATGTCAGAAATGCCAAAAACACCATATCCTGAAAAACTTTCCGTATTATCCAAACTTGAATTTTCAAATTCTGATAGCCATTGTTTAAAAAATTTATATGGATAAAGATGGTGAAGAGGTAGAAAAATAGTCACAAAAATCAAACATACTCACTTTACTTGGCGGTTGAATCCTATTTTTGCTCGCCATCGCTGGATTCATGAATCGATTATTTTTATTATTAATGTAAAGTTTGTAAGATGGAGATTTGTCGGGTAATGGATAAGGATTTGTAACTTCACTCAGGAATGGTTGTTTGCTGAATGCGAGCTGTAGTTTATGCTCTTTTGCATTTTCTTCATCCAAAAGCTGTTGTTCGTTGATGTTGTTCGAGCGATGTGTTAGTGGGATTGCTCCTGTGATTCCAATTACAACGTTGTTGAGGTTTTGAACACACCTTTCAACTGCAACACTGTCTCCCATTTGTACCATGGCTGTTCCTTCTTTCGATTTCAGAAATTTAATCTGAAAAATGAACTGAATAAATAAAATGCAAAGAAAATAACTGTAATTGACAACAGCTTTCTCCAATTAACTTCCAGAATTCTCATCTGCTGATTTAGAAAAGTATTATTTATTAAACATCATATAATTAGATTGTCATTGACAGCAAATTTTGGTGAAAATTCAAATTGGATAAACTAGGTAAGAATTGAAAATCAAAATAAGACAAAATGTTAAAGAAATAAATGATACTCCAACAGTCTGGTATATATTTTATGTCATACAAAGGCCTACAATGCAACAATTGTATTTTTTGATTCCCTTATAGATACAAACATACAACTTCACAAAATATGGGAATAACGTTGTTCATAATCGATTATTTCCCCTCAATGTATAACAATAATCAAACAGCTTGGCAGCATTTACACAGTTTCGCCAGGATTAAATGTACTGTACACTGTACTGTTTAACCGATTGAAATGATAATAAATCGGTGCTCAGGTGAATTTTTGATTTTATAGTATCGTTTCCTTTCTCTAGAAATCATTTCAACAAATTATTTTTTATATTTTATCAAAGAATTTCATGATTTTAAAAATGTAACTCATAAGCAGATGCTTTTGTCTATAATATAATTTATGACAAAATTTCTCGACCTACTGTGTAGAGATGTCATCAAATTATTATACACTTAAATCATTTGAAAAGCGAGAGTGGAACTTGAATACAATAAAAACAAATAATGAAAATCTGATATGTAGGTCGTGGTTTCAAAAATATTAGTGAAATAAAATATTGTAGTTTAACTTTTCTTAATAACCTTCTACATTTATCAGTAACTTCAAATACTCTAAAAATTAGGGAGGGTATATCAATTTTCAGGAGTATATCCAATATCAGCTCATTCTTACTTGGACAGCGAGGCGGTTCATATTTTCTCACATTTTCCTTTATTTTTTTTTACTTTTTACGGATTTACGATCTTAGGCAANGGAAAAAGTCTGCGTTGTTATCACACTCCTTATTACTATTAGTACTTGTCCAAGGATACCACATTTTAAACCTATAACAAAAATTTTGAGTAATTATAACTGCACCAATATCGAATTTCAGCACTCAAATCGCGATCAGTTCAGAACTTAACACGATGGTGTTAACCATTCCTGCATTCTCCGATATCTATTCGTTACCGTAAGATGACTTCAAATTTGATTTTATGACTCTTCAGCCAATCATAAAACTCGGTTTGCAAAAATTATCCAATATGAATCCCCAAGTCCACAGGCCACGTGGACTAGTTCGCTGCCGGTTCATTTCTATGTATTGTATTTTTTGGCCTGTGAGAGTGCCGCCAACTTTAAGAATGCCCAATATCGTTTACTTCGACTATACTTGGTGTTTATTTATTGAAATAAAAGTGAGTCAAAAAAATTTTCAAGAGTTAACTGTAGTAAATAATGAAACAAAGGTATTGCTAGCCAATGAAAAGATTGCCACAAAAAATATAGGTCTATATTTGAAATTTAAAACTTGAGGCGGGTTCAGAACATATCTTGATAGAGGTAAAGGCTTTCGCGGCCGAGGTTTTCAGTGCCACTATTTTTCGAGTCTGAAGGCCGTCGATATTTGGAATTTCTTCCTGACGTTTCGCTGGCGCAAGTGGCTAGCTTCTTTAGAGGTTTATACATCCTGAGTTTTTCCCCGATGACTGAATATTCTGGCTGCGTAAAGCGTATTTATATTGAAAAAAAACTAATCATACAGTTTATTGTATGGTTTTCATTATAAAAGGGTTTTACAAAAACAGCGACACGTGTTTCGCTATACAATATCTTCCTCAAGCATAAACTTGACTCCTGTAGTTTGGTGTGCTGATACGTACACCTGGATTAGGTGAATTGCCTAAAGCGTGTTTATGTTAACTCAGGTAATTTGATGTGCTAATACCTGTACCTGGATTAGGTGAATTCCTTAAAGCGTGGTCATGCTGACTCAGGTAGTTTGATGTCCTAATACTTGTGAATTATCAATAACATTCGAACACCCCTTTCTACTTGCCGTCATGCTACTTGCTACTCTTGATCTTAGAATGGAATTACATATTTGATTGAGGTTCACCGCTTCTTCTTTTCTGTTGAAATTATCCTTGTGTTTCTGGATCTCTACTGCTTCCCGTACAAGTCGGCGATGGTATCCCTGGATGGGGGCAATGAGTTTCGTGTTTTCAAACAGAATCCTGTGGTTTCCTTTACTGAGTGCGTGTTCCGCCACAGCCGACTTGTCCATTTGGTCTAGTCTGCAATTTCTTTCATGCTCCTTCAGCCTTGTTCCCATTGATCTCTTGGTGGTTCCGATGAGTACCTTCCCACAAGTGCACGGTATGCGATAGACCCTTGCTGCTGATAGTGGGTGTTTGGTGGGTTTAAAAACCGTTTTAATGTTATATTTCCCAAAGATTTTTCCAATTATATCTGTGACCACTGCTCTAACGGAACGGGCTCGAAAAATATGTGAAACAGAGCACCTAGAGGAAGAACTGGAACGTCTTCATGTGACCTTGAGATCGAATGGATGCAGTGTACCCGAGATCAACAAGACCATAAAACTGAAAAGTTTCAAGGTTCAAAACGGGAAGAAGGCTCAGATGTTTGCACGTGCGTATCTACCCTACTGCTACCTTCCAGAATATAGATAATGAAGAAAGAGCGCAAGAATGCTGTTCTGAGCAATACTCAATTTCATCTTTGCTGCCTTCGCATAATTATGTGTACCATACATAAAGTAGGCTTAGTATGAATGACGAACTGAAAATGTTCAACATTACTGTCATTGTTGCTCGATTTTTGAATTTTTTTCGAGGTCACGAATATGTATTATTTAATACCAAAAAATTGGGTTGGTATTTTCCTTTGTTATTCATGAGGAAATCGAATTCATGAGCAATTAATCTAATTCACTCAGACATTTTTTTCCAACGGTAAATATCTTTTTCTATATAGTATCAGATTTTCTGGTGGGAAAGAAGAAAAAAATATCTTCTATAAATAAAACACTCTATTGCAAACGTTACTCAACTACCTGAATTCAAAGATGAAAATAAACTTGATATGTATATCTAATCAGTGCTACTCACCCGAGCGACATTTCCATAGAGACACATGAGATTGAATAACTTATCAGCGTTAGTCCTCAAAGGATCCAACCCGTACACCATGAGGACACCGCCGGGCTGTTGAAATTGGGCATTCCTCTGGTCCGTTGTGACTGCAGCCGGTGTCGCCCCCTTCCGGAACGCGTCTGTAGCGAACGTTTCCGGGAACCCGGTCGTGGCGCAAATTTCATCGTAAGTCCGGGTCGGTTCACTGGGATATGGATCTGGAAAGCATAAGGGAAGTTTTGAAAATGATGTGATTCCGAAAAAATACACTTGAGCAAAAATGTAATCATTAGAATCGATGAAAATAAAAATATAGTTCTGATGATGCCCGCCGCAGTAGCAGATGAAACATTTGGTAGTTCAGGTTTCATTTGACCACAACGTACTATCCCGGATTTTGTGTTCTTCAATATATACGGTGTGTGTGTCACATCGATCTTTCATCAGAAGTTTAAGATGGAGGAGTGAAGTTTTTCGTACGAAAATTTCAGGCAGAAATGCATTGTACTTTGTGAAATGATTTTCAATATCAGGATAACCAGTAAACGCGTGGCGTATTAAATTTAGGTGTACCGAGCGGTTCAGAAGTTGTTTCAAAAATAATGTAAAGAAACGGATATATTCCACCATATTCATTTTCAGTTTTGTTATGAAAATTTTTGAAATGAAATTTCCTCATAAACAGATGATAATTTGACAAAAAACTTTCTCTAATACTGGATGAATCAAAACTGTAAAACAATATTCCTTAATTTAAATCAAATGAAACATTTTTTCATTTTATTTTACATCTGAGTTATCAAAATGAAGACTCCTGAATACACTGTCATCACCAAAATCTCTTGTTTTGCATATTCCTGAAGATTACTTCAAGATCTTTTAATGTTTTGAATTTATTTCTCTCTGAAATATCGTTTTCGAAGTTTTTGCTGGAGAAGTTTAATTTTGAGACTAATAAAAGAAAATAAATATTTCGAAATGAAATCTTTACATTTAAAGTTATATACTTCTAAATATTTTATATACAGTACGCTATATTACAAATAATTGTATTGTTTCTCAATTCAGCTCATTAATTATGCATTTCGTAATAGGAGTCCCACGCACAACTTCGGTTTTAGTGGGTTTCTCTGTCTTTGTTTGTACTGCATTTCTTGTCACTGTTTCAAATTATTCAAAAAACCTGATGTTTATACTTCTATACGTAATAATTACAGATAGAAAATAGAGATTAGGTATTATAAATGGTAGTGATTAACATCAGAAGAGAAATAGCAAATAGATGAGTAAAATAATCCCAATAAGCTTGGTGTTGATTACGAAAAAAGAATTTCAAAAGTCACCAGATCTGCATTTTGTCGTGAACGGGTGAAAATAAATAGTTTGAATAATTTTTTGAATTATGACAACTCATTGATCTGCTGCACATTCATGAGAATAGTACTATACAGCTTTGGGGCAATGAAGGGAAGTCAAGGTTATTCAACATACTTTTGAACGAGTGGTAAGATATAGGTAATGACGTTTTTGTCGGGTTCGATATTTGATATATAATATTCGCATCTTTGTAAAATCTATCAAATGATTATCTTGGCTTTTGGGAAAGAAGGTTTTTGGCTTTCTACTACTCCATCTTGATACAAAAAAATGTGGAAATCCTCCAAAGTCTGCCCTGTATTCAAGTCTGGAAAGGTAACATTAATATCAGTTGTTTCCAAAATACTGAAAATTATATTATACTATCAGACTGATTTATAACCATGTTCGTTCTTCGGTGTCAATTTTTCAACATGGCTTTATCAAGGCTCATAGTACTGAAAATAATCTCTGTGTTTTCACTCAATTTGCCTCGGATGCACTTGATAATAAGCGACAAGTTGACGTCATCTACACGGACTTCAGCAAGGCGTTTGATCGAGTAGGTATCACATCAACAGCTGCTAAAGAAACTGTCGAATTTTGGCAGATTATCTAATATTCAGTTGCTCCTGAAATTACATTCATATGACCGACGTAGTTATGTTGAATGTGATCGTATAAAATCCTCCTGCTTTGTAGCGAGTTCGGGTGTCCCACAAGGGTTTAATCTTGAACCGTTATCATTCATACTATTTATAAATGACATAGCCCATGATATCACTTCTCATAAATTGTAATTTGCAGATGACATAAAAATATATCGTGAAATACAAGATGAAATAGACTGTTTCACATTGCAGGAGGACATAAATTATTTGACTAACTTGTGTATTCATAATAAATTGTACTTAAACACAAATAAACGAAAAATCTTACCGGTAACATTCAACTATGTACTAGATAGTAAAAGTTTAACGCGAATCACGGAATCAAACGATCTGGGGGTTTTGTTTGATCAAAAACTCATATTTTCCAATTTTCTGGATGTGATATCAAGTTCAATGAGAAGTTTGGGTTTCTTAGTACGCAACTGCGAGGAATTGAAGACCTTTAATTCTTTGAAAACCAATTACTTAACACTGATCAGGAGTAAATTACAGTACTGTAGTATCGTTTGGAATCCGTCTCATATGAAACATATATCTAGTTTGGGAAATGTTGATAAATTAGTTAGCTCCCTAACTATATTATTAAAGAGGAGCTGTTGGAAGGTAGGTTGCACTATATCATTTATTTAAACTATACTAGTACTATTACAGAATTACTTCCGAAAATATTAAAAAATGTATTGATATCAGAAATATAACTTACAGCAAATTATTGTCAATAGCAAATTATGTTGTTAATTTTTATTTCCGTGCATATTATTACACTCTTCATATAATAGTGGATTACATCGACAAATTCACGTTGGAATGTATATATGAAGCCCTTAATAGGGGAAGTAACAAAAACAAAGTAACGTCGAGGGTATATTTTATGAGGTCCGATGAGGGTTGTAATGTAATAAAAACAAGATTAATATCGATGTTCTATTATCGACAGAAAAAAACAACCGATGTAGGGGCAGGTTTCATGTCATCGCCTGACCACAAGCCTTCATTGTATTTTTAATAAGTGACAATCATGGGACAAGTGATCGTGTTTATTAATTCAAGCAACAATTTCGGAAATCACCAAAAACCCTCTTCGAAGAATGTGTATTGAAATATTATATAAAGCAAATATGGTCTGGTTTGTAGTCTATGTCAATAAACATATATATGAAGATTGTCTATCTAATAAATGGTTCTATGATAGGATCATTAATGATAATTTGAATTGTAAATCGCAGAGAAATTAAATCATGTAACTGAATGATTGAATGACATGAAATGAATAAATTACTAAATTTGTACAAACTGATGTTGCAGATCCCTATTCAAGAATTGTAGAATGAATTTACAAGTAAATTGAATATTTTTTCATTGAGTCTACTCCAACGGATTTTTTACATAGAAGGCGATTCCAATAAAATCTATGGTAATTTTCAATCTATATTCTTTCGAAAACTAGGATTGTTCCCAAACACTAGAACTGTGACATTCCTCCCGACGCACATTTCACCAACCAAGTTGGCGTCTTCAAGAGACGAAGTAGTGATTAACTTTCCTTTCTTCATACAAAAAATGTGGAAAACTTTCGAAGGGAGAAAGAAAAAAATTGAGTTCAAAATAATTTATTCACGAAGATGTGTAGATCTTGCCTAGAGGTTACTTTTCAGATACAAACTGGAAGGAAAAACCTTTCAGAAAACACTACTTTCACATGCACATTGAATTACACGATAGAAAACAACTTATAGGTTGTTTCAAAAGTTTTGTCGTCTTTATAAGTCTTCTTGGAACTGTAATATCTCAGTGTGAATACCCATTCAATTCAATCAAAATAAGCGCCATTTGAATCAGTTCACTTCTGCCACCACAACACAAGTCTATTAATTTCGTCAGTATAAAAATTGCGTGTTAGGGATTCGGGGAGGCCGTTTTTGCCTCGTCCTGATTGGCGAAGGAGAAAGTTATCGAAGTGCTTGAAAATATTGTGGCCGGCTGGGCTGGGGAGATTTGGGGACTATTGTTCCCAGCATCAACCAATAGAGTACACAATTCTCTATCGATCAGTATATACCACGACACAGTAGACTGAAAATTCATTGGGATATGGAGCTGCAAAAACACATGACATGAAAAAGTACCAAATTTTTCAAACAACCTAATATTTTTGTACTTATGATGTACTGTTTGGAACCTTTGGTGTAGTAATGAATATAACTGGAGTTTCTTCCCAACACCAAATCGTTATTTTTAACACCTCGACACTTGTTTTGATCACAAAGTGATCATCTTCAAGAGGAATATAAAACTGGAAAGTTCACGAAACTGAAGATATTCATGCTATACAGATATATCATAAGGTAAACCATACAGGTATACCACCCTAAAATTTTACAATTAGCCTTATCTATTACTTTACAATATGTCCTTACGTAATGTTTAAATGTTATAGCTATATATAAAACAATTTTCAGCTAATCAAAAATAATTTCACAATATTGCATATCTAAATATATTTACAATGTGTCGTTATGTAGTAATCAGTAAACCCAACAATATTATTTTAACAAGCTATATAGTATGCTATTTGGTATTGGTCCGTCATCGTTATTCATAATATTATTATGTTTACTTATTTCTACACTCTCATAGGCATCTAGTTGCCTGTTGTTGTTAACTTATCTAACTCCATATTGTGAGTGTGCTTACAAAAACCAAGATAAATACATCTCAGTTCCATATCACCAATATACGAAGAACTTTGGAAATATTTTCAAGGAACTTGGTATGAAGGTGGTTTTTAAAATAAGTCATATACTACACAGCCTTTTGGGAAGTCCAAAAGACAAAGTCGAGAATTCGGAAAAGTCTGGAATTTAAGAAATTAAATGTAAGGACTGCGATGCAAAATATTATGGACAGACAAAAAGATCTAATAAAGTGGAACACATATCACACTTAAAATATGGAAGGCCTGAAAAATGAGCAGTCGCCCATCATATTTTGAAACAAAACCATTCCATAGACTTCAGTTCATTAAGATTAGTTAGACAAGTTAACGACAACAGGCAAATAGATGCCTATGAGAAAAATAAGTAAACATAATAATATCATGAATAACGATGACAGACCAATACCAAATAGCATACTATAAAGCTTGTTAAAATAATATTGTTGGGTGTACAGATTACTACATAACGACACAT